AATTTCCCTCAGTATGACTTTTACCCTCTATCGATCTCACAATTCTGTCTTTTTACACTCAATGCTTTTGTCCAAATGCTTCAAAGAACAAACTAAACTCAACCAGGAATTAGTCTCGTGGATCCCAAGCTGGATATGATCAAGAAATGTGATTTTAAAAAGAAGTGGACAATTTTAATGAAATTTTCGAATGAAAAACTAAAGGAATTCAACAAGTGACCAGAAAAACCAATGAATCTTGGTTGGATTGGAAAAAGACATTCAACTCAAAAAATTGAATTTGTAAATTACTGGTAGTAATTGAACAAGAAAATAAATTTTCCTTTTTTTTTTGGGTAATTTTCTCCAGTTTTTTTTGACATTTATTTATTTATTTATTAAGATATGCAACTAAAATACTAGCAAATCAAACCAAAGTTGATTTGAAAGCTAGATTAGTCCAAAAGTAACCTTTGAAAATTTGACGAAAAAATCTATGGATCAAAGACTCAACAATGAAAATTAAAAAATATAACCTTGAGCCTAAGCTCTGATACCAACTGATATGAACCCACATAGCAATGATGATTACGAAACCCCCACGAGAATTTTAGAACCCCAGGAAAGCCAAAAGAATCCTGGTCTGTGGATTCAAATCAAGAATAATGAACCAAGCAAACTAAACAAGACAACGATGTGTGGACCTTTTGATTACACGTTTCATATAGAGATGGCAAGTTGAACTATGAAAATCGAAAATCACTATTAACTGAATCGAATGGGGCGAAAAAACCGAACTGATGGTGCAATTGGACAGATATGATATTTGATTTTAGTGACCCCCCGAACCGATTACCCTACCCGTTAAAAAAAGGGCAATTGTGCTTTCCATTATTCTTCCTATTATAATTTGTCTAGTCCAAAATTTATGGCCCACCGACCCATTAAGTAACCTAACCCAATTACTACTTGCCCATTAAGTACTAACCCTACCATAAAGAAATTTGGAATCAAATTCAACAAGACATTAGCTGACAGCCATCTTCACTCAAGTCTCTACAGTACGTTCCCAAATTTTTTTCTTCTCCACACCGTATTCTTTCTTGCTCGCCATTGCCATTCCCAAATAGAAGGGTGTTTTTCTTTATCTTCTCATTTGCTAATGGCTATTGCTGTAATATTTATTTTTGTTTTTGTCGAGTTTGAGTATTTGATGAAATGTGATTTTTTTCTTCTCCACATAAAAGACAAATTTAATGAGTCTTCCTAGAATATTAAGTTTTATTGTTGGAGGGACTCGATGATATGAACTTTGAGTTTGAGAATAATCAATGAAAATGCAAAGATGTGAGCAAGCTACTAAGCTGTTGAATTCACCTGCCCCAGATTGCAGGAAAAATCTCTGGAGGTTTTATAGAAAAATTTTAGAATTGTTCAATTTAAACAAAAATATAGGAATTCTACTCAAATGTTATTAGTGGATATCACTCAGAGAGGAACAAGTAATGCAAGATCTTTAGCTGCCAAAATTATTTCTCAGTTGAATGTGCTTTATAAATAGTCTTCGTTTTTTTTATTGTGATATTGAAATGAGGGTACATATTTTATGTGGATATTGAATTGTGATATTGTTTGCATTTTCATTTGGGATGTTGTTTGCTACATTGGCTTATTATTATATTTTTGTTTTCATTAACTTTTTTTCATGAATTATTATTATTTTTTAAATTTGACAGTTGGAACTATAAAAAATAATTCATTTTTCTGGTTATTAACGACCCAAATCAAGCAAAACCGAGATATGAACCAAACTGACTTACATGGTTATGGTATGGCAAAAAAATTGGTAGTTTGGTGATGGTTTTGTCGAACCAACTCCAAATCTAACTGTTACCAACCCTAGTTTTGTAATTCACACTCGGTGTTGAAGGCTACAAGATCTTCACCTTGATAAATTCAAAGTTTGTTCCAAAAAGAACAAATGATTGGAAACCAAGAATTTGCCTTTCTTTAATTTCTCTCAAAATAATGTCTAAAAGTTGTTACCATGAATATGAAGGAATCTATTTATAATAAACCTAGAAAGAAATTAAAAGCAGAAAAACAACTAAAATATTACAAAATATTATATAGAGTAAAATTCTATTCCAATTAGGTGACCCTTGGGAAAAGAAAACTTCTCGTGTCGCAACCCTTCTATGCTACCGCATGGGTGTCCATGGTGCGGTCGGATGATTCAAGTCCTTGCTGCCCTTTAACTTTCGGTAGACCACTATGAGGTAGCATGGTGTAGTCAACTATGTGATCGCACAGTTATTCATTCTGATTCCTACTTCGGCTGCTTGTATCGTGTTGATCCAAATGGTTTTGGCCTTCAACCTCAATATGGAACTTGCTTCTTTTCACACATAGATCAATTTCATCAATGGTTCATTGCACAAGTAATCATATTGCCTGATTGACCTGCTTTGCTCTTGAATGAGTCATTGGTCCTCCTTCGATAATCAATGGGTCTTTTCTCGGGCTTGTCTTCGTTGGGCTTGTCTCTTGGATCACATCACGTATGCTATGTTATGTTATTATTTGGCATTTCAAAAAAATACTTCGGCCCATACTACTTTTACGTAGACAATGTCACTGAATTGTCGGTGGCGGGCATCATACTTGTCAAATGTAACGATGTTGTTAACACAAAGAGGCGACAATTGCCACACATTCAAGTTTCTGTAGCATCTACTAGGACCTCATACACCAGAGAGAGGAGAAAGAGAGTAAAGAGATAAGTAAGTTGATGTTTGTTAGTATTATATTAGAATCGATGTAATTTAATAGTAGCGACCCATCTTCGGTTTATATTTTACGTTTTATGGTTATCTTTATAAGGAAAATTTATCTTATGCCAAGTGAGTTTTTGTGATTAGATGGATATCTCTTGTTCTACTTGTGGGGTTTCTTAAACATTGGATTTTATATGGTGGCTTTTCGGACAATAGTGGGAAATTTTATTCGAATTTGAAAAAATCTGAGACTTTTTTGCTTTCTATTTATGTGAGAATTGTTAAACTTTTATTGTAATTATTTGTTGTATTACTAGGGTCACCGTAATTGTTTTAGATAAAGCCAGAAGTTTTAAATTTTAACGAAAATATCGATTTCGAAAATATCGAAGAAAGTCGGGTGAAAATAGTTTGCAATTATGAAAAATCCTTTTAATGACTATAAAAAAAGTACTAGAAATGGAGTATATAACAGTTTTCGAAGAACGATGACATTTCACTTAAAATAGTAAGAGAAACTTGTATAGATTTTTTGTTATCTATTATATAGCAAGATGAAATGTGAAAAACTTCAGCCTTTGGCTTGTTTAAAAATGGGCTATTTTCATTACTCCTAGATTAACTACTAAGAACTTCTGGCAACTCATTCAGTCATTAACTCCTTCAAATATAAATTATTTAATTTTTTTAATCAATGCTATTATATAGTCAATTATACTATGGCACGTGCCTTGCACGTGTTTGTAGTTTCGCATTTATCATTACTCATTTCTTATATTTGTAAGATTGTTTGATTAGCACACAACATTTTTGAATTTCTTTATTGAATTCATATTATGAGAAGCTTCAGATGGTGAAAAAGACTTGAAGACCATCATACTGTTAAGATACAACATTTTTCATGAAAAATGATTACCACCAACTATACACATGGAAACATTAAGAAAAAATGGTAACATGATTTAAGATTCACATTTTTCATAAATTAAAGACAAAGTTTAGAGATAATGGTACACTTAGACCTTAAACCATCATATCAATTATAACTCAAGAAAATTTGAATTGTGATTTGGTGGTTGTACACTAAATAGACATAATTGCTTCCTTCCGAGAATTTGATTATAAATAGCATGGCAAAACTTTCTTCTTAGTTGCACTTAAATACTTCTCCAGCTTTGTGACACTTTATATATCAAACATATACAAACTGATGAAGTGCATAAGGGATTAGAGTTCATGGCAAAATGAGACCATCACAAGGCAAAAGTTGGCAAAAAGGGGCAAATGATTTTATGATGACTTTGAGTTTGCTCGTTTTTGGCAAATCGCTAGTCTAATTTGATTGAAGTCGAGCCAAGGAATAAAACTCAGGGCCTTTGGCCCTGATGCAAGGCCAATTTCGGGCAAAATCCATCGTTTAGGCCCTCGTTTAATCGTTTTTCCTATTTATGGTAATTTTTATTTTTGCAATATCTCTTTCCATGAAATTCGGATTTAGATTCCGTTTGTTCGGGGATGATCCTGAAGATAAGTATTTTCCATCTTAGTAATTATCTCATATTTTCCATTTTTGGAAAAAAATATCTTTATTTTATTTTATTTTATTTTCTGAATTCTCCTAGGTTTTTCTTCTATTTAATCAGTTGTAAGCCCTTAGAGGTAGCAGGTCTTAAATTCAATAAAATCTTCCTTGAGAATTTTCTCAATTTGTGATTGTTCATCTTCCCTATAATATTTTCGCTATGTCAGTTGGTATCAGAGCCAAAATCGTTCCTTCACCATGCCGCCAAGGAGACGTCCTGAAACCCGTGATGCCCCGATAGAGGAGGTACATAGACGTGATGAAGTCGCACAGCTACGTCAGCAATTCGCAGCAGCCTGTGCCTACAGGTCAACAGCTTGGGGATTCCGATGATGAGAATCTGTTTGCACCGCTTGCACAACCATTGGATCTGCCAGTTCACCAGAGAAGGGGTGGTTAGGAGGATAACCGACGTTGGGAATTAGGATTTAAGGTGGATATTCCAGAATTTAATGGTGGGTTGAGTCCAGAGGAATTCTTGGATTGGGTGACTGCAGTGGAGGAGGTCTTGGAGTTTAAAGAGGTTTCTACAGATAAATGTGTGCCTCTCGTTGCAACGAGGCTTTCTTGGGCGAGCAGTGGTGTGGTGGCAGCAGACTAAGGTGACAAGATCCAGGCTGGGGAAACCTAAGCTTGCATCGTGGGACAAATTGAAGAAACATATGAAGGAACAATTTCTGCCTTACAATTATGTACGAACCATGTACCAACAACTGCAGAATCTGCGTCAAGGTGGGAAAACGGTTAGTGACTATACCACGGATTTTTATTTGTTGATTACGAGGAACGAGATGATGGAGACGGAGGAGCAGTTGGTGTCACGTTACGTGGGTGGTCTTCGTCCCCAAATACAGGATACTCTCAATATGTTTGATCCTATGACAGTTTCTGAAGCACATCAAAGGGCAATACAGATAGAGAAGCAACAGTCCAGGAAAACTACTAGTCCTTTCATTGCAGGGAGTTCTTCTAGTAACCCACAACAGCAGGTGGCACGTCCTGGTAATCCTGCTCAATCTGGTCCTCCTAGAACAAATCCTGCCCAACAACCAATACGTCCTGGGGTTGGTATTCATTGTTTTGGATGCGAAGTTACAGGCCGCAGGCAGTCTGAGTGCCTAAAGAATCCACGCAGGGGACTCTTTGTTGATGAGGAAAATGGCGATTATGAAGGTCCGCCTGTATTTGACGGTGAGGACGGAGAAGAAGCAACAAAAGAGGAAGAGTTTGTGGTTGGTGATGTAGGTCAGGCACTGGTGGTGAGGAGGAGTTTCCTGACTCCTTTGGAGAATAACACTGATTGGTTGCATAATAATATCTTTCAATCAACATGTACTATTGGAGGAAAGGTGTGCAAATTTGTTATTGATTCTGGTAGTTGCGAGAATGTGGTGGCTAAGGAGGTCGTTAAGAAGCTGGGTTTGCAGACTGAGAAACATCCCAAACCTTATAAATTAGCCTGGCTGAAAAGAGGCAATGACGTAGAAGTGTCTCAACGTGCTAGAATCAACTTCTCCATCGGACCTACCTACAAGGATCAGGTCTTATGTGATGTAGTAGAGATGGATGCATGTCATTTACTATTAGGGAGGTCGTGTCAGTTTGACAGGCACTTACTGCATGATGGATATACCAACACGTACAGCTTTCTGTTTGGGGGAAAGAAAATTGTGTTACTACCGGATAAGGGTTCAGTACAGATAGTTGGGAATAATGCCAATTTACTGACCAGAAAGAAGTTCGAGACAGAGATGGAGGAGTCTGGGGTAGTGTATGTGCTGATTAGAAAGTCGGTTGACAGTGAGCATGAAGTCCCTCTCGCAGTTCAGCCATTGCTAAAGGAGTTTCATGAAGTTTTCCCAGAAGAGCTTCCTGATGGACTACCACCACTACGGGATATTCAGCATCAGATTGACTTGGTGCCTGGAGCTGCCCTACCTAACCGGGCGCATTACAGAATGAGCCCCACCGAGCATGAAGAGTTGCGCAGGCAAGTTGAGGATCTTCTGGCAAAAGGACACATCAGGGAGAGTCTTAGTCCTTATGCTGTCCTGTTCTTCTCACACCGAAGAAGGATAGCACGTGGCGCATGTGCGTGGATAGTAGGACAATCAATAAGATTAAGGTGCGTTACCGCTTTCCTATTCCTTGCCTAGATGACTTGTTGGATCAGCTTACCGATGCTTGTGTGTTTAGCAAGCTTGATTTGAAGAGTGGGTACCATTAGATTCGGATCAGACGTGGGGATGAGTGGAAGACCGCATTTAAGAAGAGAGAAGGATTGTACGAGTGGTTAGTCATTCCCTTCACCTCAAATGCGCCCAGTACATTTATGTGGGTTATGAATTAGGCTCTTCGCCCATTCATCGGTAAATTTGTTGTGGTCTACTTTGATGATATTTTAATTTATAGTGCTAATGATGATGAACATGTTCGGCACCTTCGAGAAGTTCTTTCAGTTCTTCGCAGGGATAAATTCTATGCTGCAGTGAAGAAGTGTTCCTTTCTCACTGATAATGTGGTGTTCCTGGGTTATGTGGTGTCGAAGGTGGGGTTAGCAGTTTATACATCTAAGATAGAGGTGATAAGTCAGTAGCCACAGCCCAAGACTGTCACTGAGGTGCAGAGTTTTCATGGCCTTGCTTCCTTCTATCGCAGGTTCATACCGTATTTCAGTAGCATCATGGCACCAATTACAGATTGCATGAAGGATGGTAGGTTTCAATAGACTCACGAGGCAGAGTCTTCTTTCCAATTGATTAAGTAGAAGTTGATAACTGCTCCAGTTTTGGTGTTGCCTGACTTTACCCAACCATTTGAGCTGCATTATGATGCTTCGAAAGTGGGTATTGGTGGTGTACTGAGTCAGAACAACCGCCCTGTTGCATATTTCAGTGAGAAGCTTTCTGGCTCGAAGTCTCGGTATAGTACTTATGATGTGGAGTTCTATGCAATAGTCCAGGCCATTCGACATTGGCGTCACTATTTGTTCCATAAGGAGTTCATTTTGTATACGGATCATGATACCTTTAAGCACCTTGGTACTCAGGATAAGGTTTCTGCTCGACATGCCTCTTGGATTGCTTATCTACAGCAGTTTACTTTTGTGATCAAGCACAAGGCAGGTGCCCTTAACAAAATTGCGGATGCGTTGAGTAGGCGCAAACACTCCTTATAGAAATGCGAGTGGAGGTTCCAGGTTTTGACAGGTTGTGTGACTTATATGCTACTGACCCATACTTTTTCCATGTTGTCCAGAAGTTGCAGAAGGGTGTGCAGTCGGAGTTTACATAGGTTGATGGTTTTCTTTTTCATGGCAATCAGTTGTGTGTTCCAGAGGGTAGTTTGAGGTTGAAGATCATTCAAGAGTTGCATAATGAGGGCCATGTGGGTCGTGACCGAACATCGCAGCTTGTTGTTGCTTCTTACTTTTGGCCATCATTGCGCAAAGATGTCAGCAAGTTTGTGGAGCGTTGTCGGGTTTGTCACTTGGCTAAGGGCAAAGCGACCAATGCGGGCCTGTATATGCCCCTACCTATCCCAACCCAGCCTTGGACAGATGTGAGCATGGATTTCATTGTGGGACTTCCCAGGACCTAGCATGGTTTTGATTCAATCTTCATAGTGGTTGATCGGTTTTCAAAAATGGTACATTTCATCCCCTGCAAGAAGACTACAGATGCTGTCAATGTAGCCTTACTGTAGTTTTGTGAAGTTTATCGCCTTCATGGACTGCCTACATCTATTGTGTCTGATCGGGATACTCGTTTCCTCAGCCGCTTCTGACCCAGCCTATGGCGCTCTGTGAATACATGGCTCGACTTCAGCAGTGCATATCACCCTCAAACAGATGGTCAAAGAGAGGTTGTTAACCGTTCCTTAGGTGATTTACTACGTTGTTTGGTTGGTGATCACATCAAGTCTTGGGATCAGAAGTTGTGTCAAGCAGAATTCGCTCACAATCATGCTGTTAACCGAAGTATAGGTTTTAGTTCGTTCCAGGTGGTGTATGGCCTTGTTCCTCGTGGTCCTCTTGATCTGGTTCCAGTTTCTACTTCTGTTAAAATGCATGGTAAGGCTGAAGACATTATTCAACAACTACAGCAGGTTCACTCACAGGCTCATGATCAGCTGCAGGCTGCTGTCGCTGAGTATGAGCATGCTGCGGATCTCAAACGCCGACATGTTGAGTTTGAGGTAGGTGACTTTATTTGGACGGTGTTAACAAAGGATCGTGTTCCTGCTCATGAATACAACAAGTTTACTACGAAGAAAATTGGTCCATTGGAGGTCATAGAGAAGATCAATCTGAATGCTTACCGTTTAAAGCTGCCCAGCCATATTCGTACCTCCAACGTGTTCAATATCAAGCATTTGGTGCCATTTCATGGTAATAATTCTGATGATGATGATGAAGCTCCTTTCCCGTCAAATTCGAGGGCGAATTTTTCCCACCCTGGGGAGAATGATGAAGTGCATAAGGGATTAGAGTTCATGGCAAAATGGGACCATCACAAGGTAAAAGTTGGCAAAAAGGGGCAAATGATTTCATGATGACTTTGGGTTTGCTCGTTTTTGGCAAATCGCTAGTCTAATTTGATTGGAGTCAAGTCAAGGAATAAAACTCAGGGCCTTTGGCCCTGATGCAAGGCCAATTTCGGGCAAAATCCATCGTTTAGGTCCTCGTTTAATCGTTTTTGCTATTTATGGTAATTTTCTCTTTTGCAATATCTCTTTCCATGAAATTCGGATTTAGATTCCGTTTGTTGGGGGGATGATCTTGAAGATAAGTATTTTCCATCTTAGTAATTATCTCATATTTTCCATTTTTGGAAAAAAATATCTTTATTTTATTTTATTTTATTTTCCGGATTCTCCTAGGTTTTTCTTCTATTTAATCAGTTGTAAGCCCTTAGAGGCAGCCGTTCTTGAATTCAATAAAATCTTCCTTAAGAATTTTCTCAATTTGTGATTGTTCATCTTCCCTATAATATTTCCGCTACGTCACAAATAGTTTTACTGAACGCAACTATATCGTTACAATGGGTTCGTCTACTGAAAAGAACTAACCGTTTAACCTGAATGAGTCTTTGCTATTACCTAGTTCGTCCCCATTTTTTCCCATCATAATTTTGTCGGATGATGAGGAAGTCAACCTTCAAAATGGTAGGAGAGTCATTTCAACTATTCCATTTCCCAATCTGAACCAAATTCTAAGCAATTCATCATAGTCACTGACACTGTACTCGATGATGTGTTTGAGTTCATGGTTTCATGTGAAAGATGAATCCAATAATGATGAGTCGTTGGTGATGGTTCTACCTCCTGAGATAATTATCATAAGTTTGAATGATTTTGGTGAAGATAGTGGAGAGGAACATTCAAATGTCGACAACAATTGAAGTAGACAACAATTGTGTTCGTCTATGGTTCTGTAAGAGATGAATATGGTAACATCTTTACTAAATGTTCTTCAATGGCATATCCCTTTTGCATCTTAGTTGTAGTTAAATTTTCTACTTTGCACCCAACTGTCAAGAATGATAAAAACCATCTATTGGGACTGACAATTTAACTGTCATGATGTTATGCAATATTTTACCTATGTAAGTGTTTTCCTTGTGAACTTAAACATGACTAAAGTCTACAAGCGATGATGAAATGATAATGATAATGTAAGTTTAAAAAGATAACGTAAGTTGAAAATGTACTCGAGAACAGCATGTCCCTTATGTATCTTATTTGTAATTTAATTTTCTACTTTGTAGTGATCTGCCGAGAATAACAAAAACCTTCTATCGTGATATTATGAAATATTTCGTCTGTGTAATGATTTTTCTTATCAACTTAACATGACTAATATCTGCAAATGATAATGAAATGAAATTGATAATATAACTTCAAAAGGTACAACACCATCAGGGAAACATTCAAAATACATCTTCAAACACTTTCAGACATCAATCATATTTAAGTAAGTTATGTTAGAATGGGATTGGAACATGTGGTTGGATGTATTCACAATTGTAATCCATTTGTATCTATCTGAATCCTGGAATGTGATGACATTTGTTTATCAATGTCAACAATATTAGCACTCTTTGTACCATGTAGCAGGTTATTTAAGTTATCATCATGTTGTACGTTTTTGTGAACATTCGTCACGACAAATGAATGATTTTGAAAATTTGTATCATTTCCCATGTCAAAAATTTGAAGCTCAATTTCCAAAATAGTAACGTAGATAGCATTTTCCTTATGTATTGTCATGTACCAATTTAAGTTTCCATCTTCACGTGTTTCGGCCGAAACTATATTAATGTTAGGGACTTTGAATGTCAACATCACCAGTATCAGCACCCGCTCCACCATGTAATTAGTTGTCTAAATTCTCATCTAATGGTGCACCCTCAATATAAAAAAATTAGAAGTTCAAGTGCATTATTATTTGAGACACTATGCTGATGATTAAGTTCATTATGTTGTATGTTTTGGTGAACATCTGTTGCGCGCAAACAAACGAATTGCCCAATTTGTATCTCCCATGTCAACACTCGAGAGTTCAATTTCTAAAATAGTCTTCTTCTTCCCGTGTTTCGATTGAAAGTATATTCAAGTTTAGGACTTTGAACTTCAATTCAATTTCAGTGAGGGGCTCAATAATACCAAGTTTGTCCTTCATCCGTAACACAATTTCGGCTACAGTAATACTTGTCGACACTAAAATGGAAGTGATTTTGTCCTCTTTCCACTTCCATTCGTCATCCACGTGAACAAACTTTCCTCCATGGGACATGATGAATCTCAAATGATTACTCATATCTGAAATGTTGGGATTGCAAAGGTAAGAATTCTGCACATCCATATGTCAACATTTAATGCTATCAAAGTAGAACTTTCGAATATTTAAATCCATGTAATGACAAAAGGAAAATTAAGGGTTTCAACAGTTTTCAAGTATCAAATTCGATGATTAAATTGTCTGTCTCGAAAGTTTGTAAATGTCGAGTTTGACAGTTCAGATGTCTAACCCGATGATTTTGAAAATACTATTCAACAGTTAAACTGTCATAATTTTTTGGCAAACTTTGAAAAACATATATTTGGTAGCTTGGAAAAAATTATTGAAAACGTTAATAGCGATAATTAATTCTCAACTACAACATCACAACATCTTCCCAAAATTAAATAAGGAATAACTCAATGCTTCATTAAATATGAAATCCTTCACATTTTCTAAAGGATGTTGGACATGATACGAAGCCGATACTTGACATGTATCCCTGGAATTCTGCGGAAAGCCGTATTCGATATATCTTTTTCCTTCAAAAATATTTCAAAAATTAAACAAATCTATAAATAAGTGTTTCAAAAATTTAAAATAAATACGATCATATTCTATTTAACATTTAAAATAGTGAGCTATCAGATGAAAATATATATAAAAAAAAAAAATTATGAATCCAATAGTAATGTCTTCTTGAGAATGGAATGAAGAAGATGGATAACAAGTTAGGGTTTGTGAATGGTAGAAGTTATGTGTTTTTTTTTTTTTACTTTTCAATTTTTTTGACCAAAATTTATATTACCCAATATAATAATCATATCTTTAATATTTATAATATATAAAACAAATCATCAAATCACAAAAATGAAGCATTAAATGCTTCTAAAAAGGTGTCACTAAGAGTAATAAAGAGCTTTCCCACAAAAAACTAACATTTTTTACAATCTTTAGTGCAAATGAAAAAAAATTTGCATTTTCAAATTTGGTGACATTTATGAAATTTTGCTATTATGATCACTCAAGTTTCTCTAGTGAGATTTCTTATCAATTTTTAAGTTCAACTAAGCAATCATGCATACTCTCAGGTATGTTGATCTTTGTGAATTTAACAAAATGGATTTTCTTTGTGAATTTTAAATTAAATTCTTGCACATACTATCAACAAGTTGAAAGTACACACAAATACCTGTTGCCCGCACTTTTCTGGAAGAAATTTCTCACTAAAAACATGATTTTTCAAGTTAAAATCTCAACCATTTGTTGTAGTTATAGCCAAGCAATCTAGTAGCATGCCATTGTCTTGGGTAGTTATGATCTGGCAATTATCAGGTACAATTACTTTTCTCAAAAAGTTTTTCTCAATTGAACATTGAAATTTCTTCAGTGAAATT